TTTTTTGTGAGTGCTTACTTTTTAACAACGAAAGACATACCCTGCTCCTAAATTTGAATGCCTTGCATGTTGATTTTAATTTAGAACTACTTTTGTTTGGAAATAGTCAACTTTCGGTAGAAAACAACATAAGTATCTTCAGACATGTGCATCATTACATCAAATCCAGCAATAGGTTTTGATAGTAATAATTAATTTTCTATTTTTATTTAAGTTGTTATATGTGTTTATGAAATTGTATTTCATTATTTTGCCTGATTTATTTGTTACATTGATTCTGTTCGTTTTGAAAGTACTCTACCAGGTTGCATGTCATGAAATCTGTATAATTTATAATTGATTCAAATGCGGATCAATTTCTCAGTTTCCAAGTTTAATTTTCTAGGTAACACCCCTCCCCTCCATCACTCCCACCCCCTCCCACCCCACAGTTCCTTCCTTCCTCAACCTATCTTTTCCCTTTCCCCAAAAACATACACAATATGTTTTGAGGAGAGGACTCTATTAAGTTGTAATAACTTGTTGTCCGATCCATTTGTATATTTGTACAATAAAATATGTTTAAACTAAAAACTGAATACAATAGAATTCTCCATTCTCATTGGTAGCCAATGAAAGTGTACAGTGGCCTTTTAGTGAATGTTAATAGGATATCTACAAATCAGGGACAGTAGTTCACACACATTTTATTAAGCAACATTGTTGCAAACAATTCAACAAATTGCGCCTTTACAGACAGGTTCCACGGTCGATCTTTTTTCCGTTTTGTAAGTTAAAGTCTTAGCATAAACTGGTACTAGTCGGTCTTGTAATTAAAAGACACTTGGCAATTGTGAAACTCATTTCTGGACATATTAGAAATATCAGTAAATGGAACATGGTCCTTTTCTGTAGGCATGTTAATATTCACATTAGTAGGCTTATATCTGAGTTACCATTTTGACATGTAGCGCCCCCAATTTTTACCATTTTCTGGATCACTTTCAATGCGAGTCATCAACTGAGACAAATGAATATCGTCCAGGTCGTCAAAGTCAATGTGTGCCAAACTTGGCCTCGAGTTTGAGATGAAGTCCGACATGTTGCAAACATTTTTTTATAATGACCAAATGTTCTCTTAAATTGTTACGTAACACTTGATGCGACAAGTCGGTTAC